TAAATATTTCAAGTAATTATTTTCTTAAGAAGTATTAAAAATCAATTTAGTAATTATTCGTAATCACATAATTAATATAATTCTATTTTTTGATTATATAATTATACAAACTATTTAATAAAACAATTATACAATTTTTTCAACTTATATTAAAATACTAATTATAGTGTTTGAAACTAGTAATTACTCAACAAACCATTTTTTTTCATATATCTATATATATATAAAGAAGTTGTTGGAAAAATATATTAATAGAAATTTTGACCGAATAAATATAATGTTTGACTTACTATTAATGGAAAGTTCGAAAAAACACATGTAAATCTTTAGAAACAAAATCTTAATCCTATTTTTTCGGTAACAAATTTGGAGATTCTTATGGCAAAATTTGAATCCCATTTTTTTAGTATCATATTTTATTTTTTTTTTACCAAAATTTAAATCATATCTTTTTTGGTAACAAATTTAGAGATTCATATGCAAACAATGTGTCAATTATTTATGAAAACAATTCTAAATACAAATCAATTTAAAAACCGTGCAAATTGGATACAAATTTACGAAACAAATAGTTGCATAATTTCTAACTAATTCTTCCAATCTTAATGAATAATTTTTTCTTTCAAAAAAAGTGTGTAAATTGGTTAAAACCACGTGCAATTTTTATTTTAAAATAAAACTGATATTTGGACGGGATGTACATTAAAAATTGTGCCCACATTTTTTGGTAACAAAAGCGGTTCATCTTTTAAAATAATTAATTGCACACCATATTTAGAAAGTTTTAGATATTTTAAATCATAAAATAGGGTAGCATTAAATGCCCCTAAAATTATGGGTCTTGTTGAATTCATTTTTTGAAAAGTTCGACAGATATTAAAGTGAATATAAAATTCAAAATCTCTTCTCATTTTATTTTTAATAAAATCTGCATCCAAATATACGTGTGATTTTGAAGTGAAATTTTAAAATTCAAAATTTCTTCTCATTTTAGTTACAAGAAAATCGGACTGCATTCAACACTTGGACCAATTTAAAAGTTATTCCTTAAATGAAGGAATTTATAGATAATTTTTATCTCTACTCAATCACATGATTATTTTCAATATAAAAAGAGACATATTACAAATTAGTGAATCATATTTTACAGAATTCAATATCTTAACATTAAAGAATTAATTCATAGTATTATGTAAATCCGTATCTCATATTATTATATCATTAAGAATATATTATAGTTATATTATCAAATCTTTTAAAGATATTAAATCCATATTGTAAAAAAAATAATTCATATAATTTTATAACAATTCTACTACACTATTTAACAATATTCATTTTTTTTATATAATAAAATAATAATTAAATATTATATACTGAAAAACAATAAGTAAAACTGTTACTTTCTCTTATATCAAGGGATAAATTTATATGCTAAAATTAAATTTTTATTAGTATAAATATTTTAGTGAGATAATAAATTAATTACAAGCTAGCCTTAACATGCTCATATTTAATGTTCTGGCTAAAAAAAAAAACAACAACAACGCTAAAAGATGTGGAAAAAAACTTATAATAACCCTATTGTTTTTTAGACTTAACGTTGATTAAAAGAGGTAGAAAATAGATAATAACCCTATTATTTTTTAGACTTAAATGGACAAGGGTGTGAAATAACTCATTTAATATCTTTGTCCCGTGCATCGCACGGGGTACGTAGTAGTATATACTAAAGTTAGATGCATCATCCTATTAATGATTAGTATTATTAAATATTATTATTATCATAATTTTAATGTAATTACATCTAACTATTATATATAATATATTATTTATAAGTAACATATTATTAATAACTACTAAACTAAAATTTTTATAAATTAACCTAAAGAAAAAATTAAGTTAATTCTATTTCAAAATATTTAAACATATTTAAACAATTTATATTATATATATAAAAAAATTGGTGGGCCGCGAGCGCAGGGCTGGACGATGGAAACGACTGCCTTGGGTGCTGTCGGCCGCTAGTGGCTGCAGATTACGGCCCCGCCAGCCTTGGATGGCGGCGACTGAAGGGTACGGCCGACCACAAATGGCGGCCACGGACGGCTTGTCCGGGGTATCGCAACCGGCCGCGCCTGCCCGCCCGCGCTGAAAATTAGAAAAAAAAATTAAAAAATATTTGCAATTCGGGAAAAAAAAATATACCGGGTAAATCATGAATCTCTTATCTCGGCCTTGGCGAGGTTGTTCCATTTTTTCAGATTTATTTTGGAACTCCGGCGAGATGGCAAAGATGAGAGGAAAAGAGGGAGTAGGAGAGAGAGACAAT